AGAATATGGCGAGGTTTGAAACGTACTCTCAGGACTGCCACGGTTTTAACAGGACTCAGACAGTCACGGCATTCGCCCACCAGGCATTACTGATGCCTGTCACCCCAGCATACTCAGGTGACAGAACACCGCAATCATTATTATTATAAGTTTTAATACACTTATTGATAATACGTAATGCACATTCCACGTTCAAAGTGGATATAGAAGTTAAATTTTGGTAGGAAAAGTAGCAAAAATATTTCTCACATCACATTTTCCTATAGCTTTACATGCTTTACCAGACCAACGACGTTTTTTTTTTGGCATTTTGAATGGGTAAGTGATGTAGTCACAAGAAGATAGAAGGTCCCAGTGTGGAGACTCCCGAGACTATCCTGGTTGCTGCTCCTGCACACAAAATTGGTAACATTAGCGTGGACAGGTGCAGGAAGTGTCGTGAGCGGGAGACCGGGGAAATGTTGAAGCATCTTCTCTGTCGATGTCCTGCACTGTCAAAAACAAGATTAAAACGCTTGGCCACTGAAATTTCTACTGAAATTCGCAAAAAGCGTTGATATTCTTTGTGATATATTCTTTAACGCGTAGAAACGAGCTCCAACTGGTAACACTAAGCACCTACCGGTCTATGTGCGGCTCAGCGCCGGCCAGATTAACCTAAGCTAGCAATTAGTTAACGTACATGTGCAAAAACATTTTTAAGTAAACGGTTTTTGTTTTACACCCTCCCATACATGATATATTTTGATAGCAGATAATTAAAAAAAAAAAACCACTTAAATTATCTAACATGCACGATTGTTTTTTATTGTTACTTATTACCAATAGCGTCACAAATGTATTAGCTAATTTTTTATCACTGTCACGTTTTAAAAATACAAAAAAAAAAACACTTGCTATAAATGTGTGCTTACTTTTTCATAAATGACATTTCGATGGAGTTCAGTCACTTGTTATTTTATTTACAGAACACACGTGTATTATAACTGATAGAAGCAAGGCATTGACAGAAGAAGTGCAAGCGTTTCGAAAAAGACACCATTTAGATATTAGTTAACGCACATATAATTATTTTTATTTTTTTGTTTTAATCAGTGTTATTTGGCTATAAAACTGGGTGCTCAAAAAAATTCTAACACTTCTGAAAAAAAAAATTGGAACTTGCGTCACAATTTGTTGCATTTTTTTGCAGTCCCTTACAAAGTTTTAAACTTTAGTTTTTTGGTTTTTGAAGTGAAACTTCTTTAGCGGCGGTTGGTTGGTTGGGAGTAAATTGGCAAATTCAATGGAAATGGCACACGGAAATAGTGCAACGGAAATGGTTGGGGCTGACACAAGTGCTTCTTGCGTGTATGCTTATGGTATTAATTTAACAAAAAATTGCTAATAAAAGGTTAAAGAATAACACTTAGAAAAAGACCAATACAAGAGTGAACATAAAGGTGACTATGTACATACATAGATAAAGAAAAGGCTAAAGGCAAAGGTAAAAATAAAAACGAAAACAAAGATGCGTAAAGATAAAGGCAAAAATGAAGGCCAAGGTAAATTTAAACACTTTTCATATACATATATATAAGGGCAAAGGTGAAAGTGAATATGTAGATGAAGAAAATGATAAACATAAAAGTAAAGACAAAGAGGAGGATGAGGATACTGATAAAAGTAAAGATGAAGATGGGAGAAGAAAGATTAAAATAAAGGTTATTAAAGAGGAAAGGATATAGAGAGAGACACAGAGACTCAATCTGGGAAATATTTTGAGATTTTGGAGATTTTCGGGACTTATTGAGAAATTAATCGATATATTTATTGGTTATGTTATCGATATATTTATCGACTTTTTTCGAAATTTTTATCGATATCGTTATCAATTTTGCTATCGATATTTTCGGAACTTATCGATATAATAATCGAACTTTTTATCGATATTTGTATCTATTTTGTAATCGATATTTTTAACTATTTTGTTAGCGATATTTCTTATCGATTTTGCTATCGATATTTTTGTAGATTTTGTTATCGAAATTTACCGATTTTGTTGTCGATATTTATCGATTTTATTGTCGATATCTATCGATATTTACCGATTTTGTTATCGATATTTATCGATTTTGTTATCGATATCTATCGATATTTACCGATTTTGTTATCGATATTTATCGATTGTGTTATTGTTATTTTTATAGGTTTTGTTATGGATATTTTTATAGATTTGTGATGTATATTTTTATCGACTTTGTTATGGATCTTTTTATCGAGTTTCTAATAGATTTTGCAAACTGATATTATTACAGATTTTGTTATCGAAATTTTTATAGAATTTTTCATCGATTTTGTTATCGATTTTTTTATCGGTTTTGTTTTCGATATTTTATTAGATGTTACTTTCGATTTTATTATCGATAGAGTATAAAGATAAAGGAAAACAGAATAACTAAATGTAATTAGAACGAACAGGGGTAGAGGTAGGGATCTAGATAGGAAACAGACAAAAAAATATAACCTTAAGCAAAAGCAGACGTATGTATGTATGTACATATGGTCACCTGAAATGCAAAATGACGGAACTCCCCACAACGTTTTATTGAAAAATAAAAAATAATTAGCCACGACTTTTTCCATTTCAGTGACGATGTTGTTACGTTATTTTACATTCCAGGTGACGATATGTAGGTATGTATATTGCTTATGAGACAAAATATATATGTATGTAACGTAAGTTTCACTTCTCCAGTGTAGCCCAGGCGCACTTGCTTTTTTGTTTTAGAGAATGAACTGTATTTTAATTGAAAATTCTTATTAGTATATACTACCCGGCCCACCTTTAGTTCGTACACTTCTCACTTGTAGTTCATACAATCTTGAAGTAAAAAAATATTTCAAAGTATATGAACTAAAGGTGGGCAGGGTAGTAATATCGATAGCGCTATCGATAGTTTGACAATACTAGTCACCACAATAAAACTATATTATGAAGATCGGTCACGTTTATTCGCTCGAATACTAATAGTAATAACAATATCTCAAGTTATACCAAAATTTGTTGGTAATTTTTAAAGAGAATTTAACATAAGACAAGAGGAAGATCTCTGTATGTTCCAGCATAATAAAATAGTTTACAATATATAAATTTTACCTATAGATAAAACATATTTTGGTAAATTTTTTAATTTTGGCACACATTTTGGTTCCTAAAAAACAAAACGAGACGCAAGTGGCAATCGTGCTCTGAAGTCGAACATAAATATGTATAAGGCATTGTATAAAAAGAATAACTTGCCAGCATTAGGCCTCGGATTTAGAAATGTTTTTGAAACTTATGTACTCGAATAACATTGTCCTAAGGTGTAAAATTTGGCATCGCTTGTTTCCTAATCTAAGTACATAAAACAATACATAATATATTTTGACGTAATATTTTTTGCACGAGTGCGTAGTTCCCCTAAAACGAAGACAAATAAGACGTTACGTCTTCTTCTTTACACGAAAGCGCGCAAACACATATGTTTTATAGTTTAATTAATAAACTATTTTAGTACAACTTCAAAAATAAAAAAATCGTATAAAAGGGCTCCGGAAAACTAAAACCGCTGTCAGTCTACTCTCGAGTTAAAGAAGTGACTTTTGGTGATCGTTGAGCACGTTAGTTTTCTGTAAAAGTAAAAGGATATTACGGGTAAATATTTCAATATAAAATTGTTTTAAGTACTAGTGCGTTGGACTAAAACACAGCGACTCCGAATTAATTGATAAGCTGCAACGCTGAAAGTATAAAATGCAGGCTTCGTTGCTAGTAGCAGAGCAAGAGGAAGTCCTTCTCTGCGACAGAGAAATCAGTTGGAGAAGGACCTGGCATTTCCAATTGGCGTCAGCTCGCAGAGAACAGAAACGACGACAGGTATCTTTTTTGTCAGATCTGAGTTAGGGGAAACCATTTCACGACTTACGTCGAGTATAGTGTCATCCTTGTCCGGACGAATAGGGTATGCGATCTTGAACCGAACTTTCGGAAGGTCTTGTGCAGCTGCAATCGTGACCGACGGTTGGAGTAAGGGTACGGCGATAGTTGATCTTGAAACGCGCATTTAGGCCCGCGGTTCCAAAATGCACAAAGCAGTAGGAGCTTCATTTTACTACTCTAAACCCGAAATTTGCAGAACTTTTAAGCTAACGAACCACTGCGCTACTCGTATTTTTCAGTGCGTAATTTTGGCAATAATGAAAACAGCAAAGCAAATTTATTGTAGGTAGCAGATAAACTTTAACATTCAAGGTTAGGCAGATATTAATGCTTTTCGGGTGGCAGGAAACAGAGGTGTTGATGGTAACGCCACGTCTCCACCTTCTATAGATTCTGTTAGAAAAGCTGTGTTGAGACAGAAATGTCAGGTGGAGACCGCAAATTTCCACTGTTAAACCATATCTGTCTTAACATCAGCTGGCATTTCGTAGTTTGACAACTCAGTTTTCATTTCACCGCGCCATCTACATTGGCTACAGATCGATCTGATTGGCTTGATGCCAAGCCAAGTTAGAATGCTTACAGTTAGCAATCGAAATAGGGCTGCCCAGTAGCTCGTTTCTGTAACTATTCTCTACAAAAGCGAATTCGTATATGAATTCGAAGCCCTGTTCTCTACTGCTAATTAGTAGTAGAGAAAGACATAATATTCTCTACCAGTCGAGTAATAATTGGTAGGGAAGAGTTACAGAAACGAGCTACAGGTCTATAAGTGACAGCTCGATTGGCGGTATAGTGCGACGCTTCTTGTTCAGAACTCATGCGGTTTTTGTGGGGACATTTAACCTGCAATTATAGCAGAGTGAAATAATGGAATTCCAAACTCTCTGCACGAAATAATTATTTCATTATCAGTGCATAATTAGGTTCTGGGAAGGATTATATCTATATACAGACATATGTACATATGTACGTATGTATGTATGTCCTCGCATATTTGCACTAATCTTACAAGTTTATTCGTTTTTTTTTCTTTTTTGCAGCAACAACATGTCTTACCTCTACACCCATTGTGGTTGTCCGGTGTCTTCACCACTCACGCCTACATTGGCCAACATCTGTGGTGGCAGCGCCTACGTGCTCTTCATGGGCCTGCTCGAGGTGTTCCTCCGCTCGCAATGCGATATTGAGGACCCCTGTGGTCGTGCCACTCCAAGAGTAAGTCAATAGTAACAAAATGAATAAAAAATATAAGTATTAGGGTGGTTTTTTCGGCGACAATTTTATTTTTCACTCCCACCTCGAAATTGTGTTGGGAATACCTAAAAAATATGCCCTGAAAACTTGAGCACCTAATATTAATACTTATTAAGTGCTTGACCAAGGCGTGCAAATATTTTCCGTTCAAAATACACGTAAAATTTGAGTTTTTTTTCTTCAATAGTCTACAGCTCAGACGCTTTGTACGCCTTGGTCGAGCACTTAATATTAATATTGAGAGCTCAAATTTTCAGGATTTTTTTTTAAGTATTTCCCACACAATTTCGAGGTGGAAGTAAAAAAAAATGCAGCCGTAAAAAAAGCACCCTAATAAGTATATATGTATATTAAAAAATTATAATATACAGTTAACCGCAACAGTCTAGCTGCAGAGAAGTCTTCTCAATGTATGCATATTGTTTTTTAATCTTTTCGCAATTATTTTTTTATAAAAATATGGTTCATACTACAACAAAAAAAAAAATAGATTTTTAAACTTTGTACAAAACTCAGGAAAATTATATAATTTTTCTTAAAATAGTTTAACTGTTTTGGGGCATTTAATTTTTAATTTAATTTTTACATAATCAACATTTTACCAAAAATTCTGATAAGGAAGCCTATTTATTGAATATTCCTGAGTTTTGCGCAAAGTTTAGAAGTTTTGTTTGAATTTTTTTTTAGAAAAAGTTAGCGAATTGAAAGATAAATAAAAAATCCTTGCATACATTGTGAAAATGTCTCTGCACCTAGACTTTTGTGCTTGACTCTACGTTAGGGTGGTCTAAAAAAAAAGTTTAAAATATTAGGCTCTCACACCCTAGGATATTTCTGAATGAAAAAATACCTGTATTTTATTGTTAAAAAACTGATATTTAGAGGTGTCCCAAAAACCCCAAAAAAAATACAAAGTGGTGCCCGTAAAAAATCGTTAGTATTAGAAAATGGTAACATAACAATTGGGTATAATATAAAATAAAATACAGGGACAACTTCATGGGCTTTTGAGGCAGTTCTAAATAGACGTTTTTGAAACAAAAAATTACGGGTATTCTTATTTTCCATTTAGAAAAATCCTAGGGAGTGAGAACTTAACATTTAAAACCTCTTTGCCCGCATGTATTTTGATTTACCTTAAATTTCAATCTGTATTTTTGTGAAATTTTCTCTCTCACATTTTAGTTCCGATCGGAGCCCGATAGTGAATATGATTTTGTTGTGATTGGTGGCGGTACTGCTGGTTCGGCTGCTGCTGCGCGTCTCTCCGAAGTAGCGCAGTGGAAAGTGTTAGTCATCGAAACGGGTAAGTTTCAAATTATTGTTGTTGCATTAAGGAAGCACCAAATAAGTTAAACATTTTCGTTGTTCACTTTAATTCCAGGTGATGACGAACCAATTGGATCACAAGTGCCTTCACTTTCCTTAGATTACATTGGGAGTGACATTGATTACAAATATACAACTCAATCGGAGAAGGTAGCATGCCTTGGAGATACCAATCAGGCGTGCTCTTGGCCTCGTGGCAAAGTATTGGGCGGCACATCTGTGATAAATGGTATGATGTACAATCGCGGCAATCGTGAGGACTATGACAATTGGGCATCCTTGGGTAATACCGGTTGGTCGTACGACGATATATTGCCGTTCTATAAGAAATCTGAAAATAATTTGCAAATTACTGAGGTTGACACCGCTTTGCATGCCGTCGGTGGACCGCTACCAGTTTCACATTTCCCCTACAATCCACCATTGTCTTATGCGATCTTAAGGGGTGGTGAGCAATTGGGTAAGTTGCGAGTGTGATTTTAAAATAGAATTGTAACATGTAAAACGCACCTTAGATGCATTTGGTGTAAGCAAGTGATGTGACATTACATGACGTCATTTGGCGTACCCCACATTATGTGGCACGACATAATGTGGCATTACATGATGTGACATCACAGCAAGTATCATTGCAAAGCACATACATATATGTACATCTAATTTCCCGCCATCCATCATTGTATTCTGAGTTGCACATTCCAAAGATTATCTAACATCCTTTACACTCTATCATTTAAGGCCTTGACGTACGAGATTTGAACGGCTACAATGCCACCGGCGTCATGAAAGGTCAAATGGCCTCACGCAATGGCATACGTCATAGTGCTGCACGTTCATTCTTGCGTCCCGCACGCAACCGTGAAAATCTTCACATTCTACTTAATTCCACCGCTACCAGAGTGCTCTTCGAACCGAACAGTACAATCGTTAATGGTGTTGAATTGATCGATAGTAATAACAATACTATCACAGTATCTGTGAGGAAAGAGGTGGTCGTCAGCGCTGGCGCTTTGGACTCACCAAAAGTACTATTGCTTAGCGGTATTGGACCAGCTGACGAACTAGAAAAAGTCAACGTAACTGTCGTACACGATCTGCCCGGTGTTGGCAAAAATCTACACAATCATGTTTCCTATTCTCTAACCTTCTATGTTAACGAAACCAACACTAACACTCTAAATTGGGCAACCGCATCGGAATATCTTCTCTTCCGCAATGGTCTGCTTTCTGGCACTGGTATTGGTGATATGACCGCTAAAATTAGCACAAAATACGCCGAATCATCCAGAGGACCCGATGTACAAGTCTTCTTCGGTGGCTACTCGCCTAGATGCTCCGATACCGGTGCAATTGGTGAGCTTCTAACGAACGGCTCGCGATCCATACTGATGTCCCCCGTCAATGTGCATCCCAAATCACGTGGATCCGTTACACTCGCTTCCAATAATCCCCGTGACAACGCACTATTTGTCGCTAATTACTTATCCGTGGAGCATGATGCAAAAGCACTCATTGAAGGCATCAAGTTTGCTATCAAATTGGGAGCTACTCCAGCGCTCCAGGAATTCGGTTTGACTCTGGATGAGACCCCAGAAGCGGGATGTACATCATACGACTTCGGCACGGATGAATACTGGGATTGCGCTATACGATACACTACTGCTCCCGAGAATCATCAAGCGGGCTCCCTTAAAATGGGTCCAGCAAACGATACCTTGGCTGTGGTGGACAACGAATTGCGAGTGTATGGCGTGCAAGGTCTTCGTGTTATGGACACATCCATCATGCCAGTCGTAACTTCGGGCAATACGCATGCGCCAGCTATAATGATCGCAGAGAAGGGTGTCTACCACATCAAGCAATCTTATGGCATCGTAAGTGAAATCGAGGACCAATCGCAGCCACAGGGACCTCCACAACTAAGTCAAAGTTATTAAAATTTAACTACCATATTTAAAAATGAAAAGAAAGCGAAGAGTTGGGATTTAAAAATTTATTGGATGCAAATTATTCAATTGCCGATATAATTTCTTATTAGTTTTGCTAACTTTAAAATTTCTTTATTTTCATTTTCCATATTCTCTGACACTTTATAGCGTTTAATTGCTCTCCCGAACACTTTTGGTATATATGTATAAATCGTATCTATATTTGTATCCCTTTTTGGTTCAGAATTCAATGAAATGCATTTAAAGCAAAGAAGTTTGAATATATGTATATGTGTGTAAATAAAAGAGTATTGAAAAATATATAATTTCGTTTGTGCAATTTTATATTTGTGTAAGGACACTGTACAGTCTTTTGCGCGGTACTGCGCTGAAGCTGAGTAAGGCATTCGGTTTGATTTGGTTAGAAAGGTATCGCAAATAATATTTGTGTAAGTATTGTAAACAATGTGGTAAGACCTCTTCACTTCAACGGTTGGATGATCTTATATTTGGAGCGCAGTTTTAATCGTGGCACAAATACATATATGTATGTATTACAATCAGTATTATAACAAAGCAAATAATGAACCGGAATTATTTGATGCAAAAACCTTCCGAAAAATTGATGCCCAATACCATTTGCTTATTTTACATATTACATAGATTGTTAATTTTTTAGGTACATGTATTAAAAATATTTTTTGACAAATTTTAGTACTTTTTTGGAATATTTATCCTAATAAAAAAAGATATTTAGCAAAAAAAGATTCGAAAGCATTGAAAAAAATTATATACATGCAACTGCATAAATGAATTGAAACTGAAAGTAATTGCAAAGAAGTTTTTCGCAAATATATGTGGCTATGAAATATTTTTCCATAACTACAATTTCATAGAATCATATTATGCTGCCCGACCTCTTATGGGAATTTTTATGCATATATTTTATAAATAAAAATCGATTTATAAAATAAACCCCAAAGGTCAACATAAAATTAAAAAAGGAAAATTTAATTACATTAAAAATATAAAAACAAAAAAAAAATTCCCCTACTGGGATTTGATCCCCAGCAAAAATGCAACACGCGAAAATGATCTCGCGCCTCTAGCGCATCCGCCACACAACACATTGAAATCTTAGCGCTTAAGCAGTGTTTTACGATGTCGTTCAATTTCATGCGCAAGCTTGCGACGCTCGAAATTCGTGTAATTGTGTGTGCAGAAAACCACCATCGTTTTGCCAAATTTTATTTATTGATGAATGTGTACATATTTTGATGTTTAATCAAGAAATTGAATATTATCTATCAACATTAAAGATATATTAAATTAAATGATTATGATCATATGTTTAAATTAATATTTACTTGTGAATAATACATAGATAGTTCTTCTTCTTCTTCTTCAATAACTTCGATGGCGATTGAAATGCAAAAAATTCATTTCAACCACCAAATTATTCTTTATTTTATTTTATTTTATTTTATTTTTTTATTTTAGAAATAAATTCATAAAAAACAACCGCTTCGGGTAGGATACGAACCCTGACAACAACGGCAGCAAGGTATCGTTTATTGCCACGCATCAACCAACTATACCACAGCACTTATTGAAATTCATGCATCTTACTGGCTACATGTACTACCGATTTTGCAAGTACGAATATCCAAAATTTTTTAATTTTCGTTGACATATCTACATTTACGTACCAAAGAATATATGTGCGTAAATGCTTTTACGCTCGTATGCATAAAGAAAAATGCCATCAGATACCTATCAAAAGATATCAAAAATTTTTCCAAAATTAAAAAGAAGTCGATTTTATTAACATTTCTTTATTATATTAATATGTATATGTATTTAACAATAACAACTGAATTTGGCTTAATATTAAATTATATTAAAATATCAAATAAAATTATAAAAGAAATAAATAAATAATAAATGTAAATATATTCATACATATGTATGTTTAAATAAATTATAATAAAATAGTTTTTATAAAAAGGTCCATTTTACATGACTTTAGACAATCGCGGAAAAAAGTCAAGAAAATGCCTTAGAAAATCTTATCAACTTAGCTGAAATAGAAAAATGCATACATGTTTTGCTGAAACAGAAAAATTCATACATGTTTGCAAAAATGAATTTGCAACCAGCAAATCGATTTCACGCAAATATCATATTGTTACGATTATCCTCGAAACCTTGAGGGATTACCCAAATATACTCGGGCTCGTATCGCTGGATTGTTAAATAAATGCGAACGATGACCGAATTGTAGTACAATTAACTTTATTGTACAACAAACAATTTACAATACTTGCTAATACAGTAAAAACACTTTACAATACTTGTTAAAGCAATAACAACGCTATACTACTTGTTAACACAATTAAACTTATAGCTTGCTTATTCGCAACTCGATTCTCCGCTCACTTTACTTGTAGCTTGCTGACTTGTAACTGTCCCAACTCCGCTGTGTCGTGGCTCTTATATACCTGCACTCACACTTATGGCAACTCTAGAACGTTCTGAAGTTTATCGCTCATTCTCTTTCTCTCGCTGTTCGCAGTGTTCATCCAACTTGACGTTTCTCTTTGTGGAACATTCTACGTCATTCCTCGAACATTCTGCCTATTTCTCGTTGTTCGCTTTGTGTTGCCGCGGTATTCGCCACACTGCCCTCCACCTAAGTCTGATCGTCCCGATCAGACACACTTGCGGTTCCAAACGCTGCAAGCCTTTCCAAGTGGACCACCTTCATCTTGTTTCTTGGTCTCCCAACGGTCTGGATCCGATACACTACGTCATTTAGCCGTTTTACGACCTTATACGGACCTTCCCAGTTGCATTGTAGTTTTGGGGACAAACCTTTCTTTCGTTGTGGATTATACAGCAACACCAAATCTCCTTCCTGGAAACCCTCGGAATTCATCGCCTTATCATACCTGGCTTTCATCTTGTCACTCATAATTTGTGTGCGCTGTCTCACAAGAGCATGTATCTCTCTCAGCTCCTCTTCCAGGATGTTTGACGTCTCTTTTCCAATCCTTCTAGCATCACCAGTCACCCCAAACTTCAGATCACTAGGCAAACGGAGCTCACTGCCGAATATTACCCTTGCAGGAGTTTTACCCGTTGTTTCATGCACTGCTGACCGGTATCCCATCAGGAACAAGGGTATGCGGACATCCCAATCTTTTTGATTCTTGTCCACGACCTTCCGCAAATGCTCTTCCAGGGTTCGGTTGAACCGTTCCACCATGCCGTCTGATTGGGGATGAAGAGCCGTCGTTCGAGTTTTCCGGATACCCAGTATCTGGCACATCTCTTGGAACACTGCCGACTCAAAATTTCTTCCCTGGTCAGAGTGCAGCTCTATAGGTACACCGTATCTCGCAACCCAATTGTAGGTGAATACCTCCGCTACTGTTTTAGCTTCCTGGTTTGGAATCGGGTATACCTCCGGCCATTTGCTAAAGTAGTCCATAACCACAAGGACGTATTTGTTTCCCTGTGCGCTCATAGGAAATGGACCGGCTACATCCATGGCAATCCGCTCGAAAGGTGCACCTGAGTTATATTGCTTCATCTGGCCATGACTTCTGGATTTCGGCCCCTTAGCTGCAATACACTCCGCGCAGTTAGCAATCCACTCTGCGACCGATTGCCGACAACCAACCCAATAGAACCTCTGCTTAACCTTCTCCAGGGTCTTCGTGATTCCCAGGTGCCCTCCACTAGGACCATTGTGGAATTCCTTGAGTACATCCGGAATTCTTATCCTTGGAACTACTATCAGGTTGCGGGAGCACTGGCCATCTTCGCTTTCCCATACCCTATGCAAACAGCCAGATATTAATTTTAAGCTGTTCCATTGTGCCCAGTACGCCTTTGCGATGGGGCTTTCCGCTGCCATTTGCTCCTTAGTTGGCCTCCTGTCCACCTCCAGTCCATGCATCAAAAGCTCCAGATCTGGATCTTCCTGCTGACACTTTCGTAGCTGTTCTTCCTTCCACTCTTCCGCTGGTGTTATTGTCGTTAGACGGACGTCTATAATGTCCTCTTTTCCCTCAGCTTTTGAGCAGTGTTTACATTCCAGGCTACATGGTCGGCGGGACATGGCATCAGCATTACCGTGGACACTTCCCTTGCGGTGCTCAATAGCGAAGTCATAACTTTGCAGTCTCTCAATCCACCGAGCTAGCTGTCCTTCTGGATTCTTAAACTGTAGTAGCCACTTCAGTGCTGCATGGTCCGTTCGAACTCGGAAACGTTGCCCATAGAGGTACTTGTGGAAATGTTTGACGCAGTCCACCAACGCTAGTAGTTCTCTCCGAGTTACGCAGTAGTTCCTCTCTGGTTTTCCAATCGACCGGCTATAGTAGGCAACTACCTTCTCCTGCCCATCAATTACCTGCGACAGTACGCCTCCTATGGCATAACCACTAGCATCCGTATCCAAAATAAACGTTGCCCCTGGAACGGGATACGCTAGCATAGGTGCAGTACATAGTCGTTCCTTCAGAGTCTGGAAAGCCTCCTCCTGCTCCTTGTTCCACTCGAAGGCTCTATTTTTCCTAGTGAGCTCGTGGAGGCTATTAGCAACGCTGGCGAAATTCGGAACAAATCGGCGGTAGTAGGTGCATAGCCCAAGAAAACTTCGTAGTTCGTGCAGGTTCCTAGGTCTTGGCCAATCCTTTACTGCTTCTATCTTTTCCTTCGCAGTACAGATGCCCTCCGTTGTCACCTTGTGCCCTAAGTAGTTCACCTCCTTCCTGAACAGTGAGCACTTTTTAGGACTTAGCTTCAGACCAGCGCCAGCTATCCTCTGGAAAACTTCTTCCAAATTGTTCAGGTGTTCCTCAAAGCTTTTACCCAATACGATAATGTCGTCTAGATACACCAAACATGTTTTCCAATGCAGTCCTTTGAGCACATGGTCCATAAGTCGTTCAAAAGTGGCAGGAGCGTTGCATAATCCAAAGGGCATCACCGTGAATTGCCACAGACCGTCTCCAACGCTGAAAGCTGTCTTCTCCTTATCCTCGTCACTTACCTCCACTTGCCAATAACCGCTCTTAAGGTCGAGTGTTGAGAACCACTTTGTTCCAGTCAACGAGTCCAGAGTGTCATCGATCCTGGGAAGAGGATAGCTGTCCTTTTTCGTCACATCGTTTAGTTTCCGGTAGTCTACGCAGAACCGCATTTGACCATCCTTCTTCTTCACAAGTACTACCGGCGAACTCCATGGACTCGCTGATGGTTCAATCAC